TAACAGAGCATAGATATAATGATATTATATACTCGAATGAAACCATAATATTCGGAAGTGTTACTGATATCTGAGGGCGAACGAGAAAATCACCACCCTTATATGAGGGCGAGCGAGATTGCAACATGTCGTGTAAATTGCAATTGCGAAGGCATTTATGTCATTGATGTAGGACGATGATGATGAGGAGGAGGTAGTATCGGAGCGGCTCAAGAAGCTCCTCCTGCCTAAGGATGTAGGCCTCCCCTCGTTTGGTGGCAATCACAGCAATGTGGTAGATACTACATGAAGCCATCGATGTCGTGACTGGTGATGGTAGTAGTAGTCGGAGCCAAGGTGGGGCTGTGAGGAGAAGTGTTCAGCATGAACATACTCTTTCGAATGGACCTCAACTGTAACAACTTATGTAATGTTGTGTTATTAGAGGGCTGTGCTGGTCCATATGCAAACATGTGTAGGTGACGATATGAAAATTTAGAGGAAACTTTTGTTGGTTTCCAAATCTAATTCATGTGTGAAGTTCCATGAGTAGTGGAGAAATTGTTGAGCTAAGAAAAGCGAACGTACGTTCTTTGCAGCATTATTTCTAGCAGTTAGTTCTAATGCAGCTCCTCATACCATCTCTGTACGTACTTATGGCTCATTTTATGGGCACACTCTGTGTAGGTGATATCATGCTGAATTACAACCCTACTGTAAGCTGTGTGGTCCGCCTTGTTGTCATCTCTCGTTGTAGCCCCCGAGATTTCCACCGTCCTTCGCCGCCTCTTTCGTTATGAAATTGCCCTATATTGATCTTCACATTCAGATGACGGTAAGTTTCCTTATTCCTCATTAGATGTATTGTATAAGTATTAGGTTCGTCAAGTGATGCAGTCGGGCTTACAGCACGTGAGCTTTTATGATGGGCTCGAGCAGCATTTTGTCAATATGGCCTCTGACGAGATGTGAGCGAATCGCCTCCTCTATGGCCGCCTACAAAATGTGCAATTGTCTGTAACTCATTAGAAAGATCTTGGCGAGCG